TATTTACCAACATAAAATAATCATATTAATAAGATGGATGATGATGATTCTTTTTCTGTGTGATGGTTGACAACAATTGTTTGTACTAGTACCTTATGGTCATACTCCTAAGAATGATGCAGACCTGTCTGACAACAGTGGTGGTGGCCTGTACCCTTATAGTACTAGGAGCCCCACCCAAGATGACCATGGATCCATATCTGATCATCAAAAAGTATGCTGGGTGTCCCTTGGTATCCTCCTTCCAATGTCCACAAGTACGACCCCAGGTCACGCCCGTGCTGTAAGCAATTCATTGGATGGCTGCACTAATAAGGTGGAGGGGTTGGAGCATTTGTTCTTGTTCTTGTTCTTGTTCTTGTTTGATGAAAACATCCTTCAGATGATAGTAGCAAATGATTCCAACTGGTATGCATTTGAAGATTGGGTGGTGGTGACAGAAGTTGAAGCTGCTGATGCTAGCTAATGGAAGGGTAAAGAAGACAAAGATTCTCAAGCTCTGTGATGATGAAACTTCACTTCTKGTTACTACATCCTTGCCTGGCTTGGTATTTGCATCTGCTATGGAGGTTTGGGCGGTTCAAAAGAATCTCCCCAATTCTTCGGACTTGTCTTGAGGATGGTGATGTGTATGTTCCCATGGTCAGGAATACAATGAGCAAGAACAGGTGCAGCTTTGTTAAATGATATATTCATTTTGGTGACAACAGAAGCAAAGCTAATGATACTGATAACACTCTACAAAATCCGTACTGTGGTGGGGAGAAAATTGCTGATTGTCTTCGTCTTGGGTGGCATGCAAATATTAACCTATCTGTTGATGAGTCTATGATTGTTTACAAAGGAAGATGCATTCAATTTGTCCAGTATCTTCCCGAGAAGCCAATCAAACATGGTATTAAGGTGTACTGTGTGTATGATGTTGACACTTGGAACTTAATTGCATTTGAGATCTACACTGCTGGTATTAGTACTAGTACTAGTAGTGGGTCTACATGGGATACTATTCAGTGGTTGGTACGTCAATCCAATCTTGAACAACAAAATGGTTGTCGACTGTTCACGGACAACTTCTACATTACAATGAAAGTTGTGACCAAGAAGCTATATGAAGAATACAGATGGGTATCAGATTATCACTAGTAGCCTAGCATGTGACGAGTTTATGAAGAAGGAATAGAAGATATACAAATCAAAACAAGTTTCAATCTCATCTTGGCATTGCATTGATGAATRGAGGTATTGAAATGGACTGGAAAGCTCCATATGATGAAGGTTCTAAGCCAGAGTGGATGCCTCWGACTTCAAAGAATGGAAAATATCACCCTTGCTATTGCAGGATTTGTTCTTTCTTCTGTGTGAACAAGAAGACGAGCACCACCATTGTTGCTCATGGAAAGGTAATGTCAAAGCCACATACTAAAGAAAGATGCAATGGCAAGTATGAAGGAGTAAAGAGGAACTATTGTGTTATCTGTGTAGAAGAAGCAAAGCTTAGGTATCCTAGCTCATCAGTGAAGAGATTGAGGAAGTTGCCAGCAGCATCATGGTGGATTAGTAGAAAAGAAATGTCAAGGAATGGTGGTGGTCCGTTGCAGAAGTTGCAATGTTGCTGTATGTAAAGAGCATTGGAGTAACTTCAACCATCAAGTGTAGTGACGTGTTATAAATGAATGCATATATTTATATTTGTCAAAATATGTTCTTATAATATTGTTTATAGTGATGAGAGGGGTGTGATAGTAAGTGGAGTAGCAGTGTAGTAGTAGTACTCAAAAAAAAATCCTTAATTTTCCAGGTGGCAACATTTGGCAACACGCGACGGGAAAAAGTTAAACATTCAGTCATTGTTGTGACAACAAGTCATTCTAGTAGCAATAACCTAGTTTTTGCACCGTAGTAAGTTTTTTTGGCCGCCATCCTTCAAAGAAAAAACAACGGCGGCGGCCGCAACCAATTCATACGAACGCACGTCCTGTAAAAGCACGACCAAAACGTATTTTGGTACCGTAGGTACCGTACTAAGTAGTACTATTATGTTGTATGTTGCATGTGCATGCATGGTGGACGAGTACGAATATTCATGTTTTGCTTTCGCGAAGCGTTGTTGCAGCGATGTTTCAACGTGTGTCTCTCAGTTCCGTGCACATCGTCTTTCCCTACGGTACCGTAGTAAGGTCAAAATCCTGCATGTCGCCCCGCTCTGCCAGATGAAAACCCAGAAAAGCAACCAAATTGAAGACAACTCAAAAAAAGGCTAAAAATCCGTTGACATTCATTGCTTGTCAGTTACACCAACAGAGCGACGACTGCAGTTTCATGATGACCATTCCATCACAGCAAGTACCAAAAAGATTGTTCTATCGATAAAACAGAATTGCGAAAATGCGCTAATTTTTCCATAATTCTTAGAAAGCTAAGAGCAAAATATAAACGTTTAATTTGTGTTTTTTCATTCGTTGGAACTTGGAAATTACAGTCAACACCATGTCCAAAGAGAACGAGGTCCCTAAACTCGATAATAAAGATGTGAGGGCTATCTTCGAGAGCCTCTACGATAATAGACCAGCACCACCGGGATTGAAATTTCAAATTGTACCTGTTGGCCCCAATGGCCAGGGACTTTCTCCACCAAATCATGAATACGAAGGTAAGCTTTTGCTGCGCATAAGGTGGATAGAAAAATTCTCGTGAGTCACTCACTGATAAAACTCATTATTCTCTTACGTTGTCCTATCATAACAGATGGAATTTATGTCTTACTGAGACCTGACAAGTCGAAGAAAAATAAAAAGAACAAGAAAGGCTCTAGCAATGATTATGAACGCCCGAAAATTCCCCCCCATTTAGCTCATTTGAAAATGAAAACCCCTTTATCGAACGGAACAAAATGGAGTCTTAGTGGACCGCAATTTCCGAGACCCACTGCAATCCAGCAGCGCTACTGCTACCCGCAGGGAGATAGCGAATATGCTTCTAAGAAGGGAGCTGCGCTGTGGACGATGTATAATTGCAACGGCAAGGAAGACAAAGAATATCGTTTACTGCACGTATATTTCTCAGTGAAACGTGCTAACAACACAGGTCGCAACGCGCTTTCTGTTTCAGTATGCTCTAAGGCGTCATCCATGTCATCCAAAGCTAGTACGAAGAGAGTCAACCGCAAGAGGGCGATTCTAGATGCCAGAAAAGGTGGGAAGCGACAGAAACGGCCTTACTCAAAAACTGGTCACGACTCTAAATTATCCGGAGTACTTCCTCCCTCTTCACCAGTGAGAGCAAACGGTCCGATTTTCCGACCTCCTTTTGTCAATGTTTCTCCGAATACGGCATCGGCATCGTCTAGAGTTATCGAACGCAACTTATCGAGAGATGGAAGCTTTGGAGACAACTTTGGAAACCACAGAATTTATACAATTCCGTCATATCTTTTGAATGGAGATGATGAGTCGTATGATACAAGCCCTGCATTGAATGCTGTCGATGACATTTTCCGCGGAAGTGAATTGCCTGATGCAGCTCGCGATTATGATAACATGATGGGAGTCGAGCTTGCTGATCCTTCGTCGATGATGAGGGTAGCATGTATAGATTGGCCGACTCTGAACGATAGTGCTAGCGCAAAGCACGCGCGCCATCATTACCAACAGTCAAGCGAAACATTCCCCCAAGTTCTGGTGGGAAAACTGAAAACTTTGCATGAGAAGATTATCCATGAATGGGTTGGTTCTCGCCCTCGTTCCGAGCAAGGTTTGTTGATTAATCTTGTTGCCAACTGGGCTCGTTCTATCTCTCGTTCTCCCCTCGAATTGAATCGTATAGACAGAGATGTGAAAGAAGAAAGCGATGATATCTCTGGTGCGGTTGGATTAATTGATTCGTTGGTAGTCGACGAGGACGTAGCTATTGCGGTCTAACTGTTTCGAGAAGGCTGCGAGCAGCGAAAGAAACCAAAACTTCGTTGATGAAACTGATAAAAAATCATCATCTCACGTAGCACGGAATGTAGTAACCGACAAAGGGAACCTAACAATTTATGTCAGAAACATACTACTCGTGTTTGCCAAACTATGATCAAATATGCAAGAATTAATTGGAAAACATTTTTCTAAAATATAGGAACGCGGAAAATTTACTTCAGAAACAATAATTTCCGTTCCAACAATGAATATTTCTCTTCCCACTGACCAATACGCGCGTACCTGGTAGTTACAAAATTACTAGTATCTTACTATTTTTTTGCATTTGTATTGTAGTATTCGATACTTCGACCGACAAATGAAGTTGAAAATGTGCAATTCTGCATCAGTACCGAAAATCCGATCACACATCACATGCTTTTGTCGATGGGTTGTTAGCAAAGTCATGTTGTTCGTTTTGTATCATCGACGAGATAATTCTAATCCACCAAGTAGTTCGGAATTAAAATCAGATCGGAACTAAGTTACCTGAAACATGCATCATTGACCTAATCCATTCTTCCCTTCAACTCTTTCGTAATGACAGCATCTTTTGTAATAATGTGCACGATTCCTCCCCACCCAGATAAAGCATCTCTATCCACACTGCTTAGAAGTGCTTGGCCAAGGGTCTCGAAAAGTTCATCGGGATTCATGTTTGGTTTGAAAAGAGCCTCGCACATTCCGTACATGTTACCGGTGCAAGTTCCGGTGACGACAAAGTCTTTTGTGTGAACGGGAGCTCCAATAAGATCCATCCCGCTCAGAAAGGGCTCTCCTGTTTTTTCGTCCAATCCAGCGACGATTGGCTCTACGAAGTATGGGCCAAACCGTTTCTCGTACAACAGCTGACCCAGCAAATGAGAGAATACTTTGGGAGTCATTTCTCTGTCTTCCTTCAATCGATATAGATTCATACGGAATTCCAAAAGCTGATGCAGGGTCTGAACATCTGTCGCAAGGCCACCCAATCCCACGTACAGCTTTGGTGACATTCGAAACACCTTTGTGAAGTCCGTAGCAATTGTTGCGAGTTGCGCTCCAAGGCGACGGTCCGCAGCAATTCCGACGCAGCCATCTCCTTGCATAGCGATAATCGCAGCCCCATTATATTCAAGAATCGACATGATTGATATTAGATTCGATAATTTTGTAGTGTGCGCAATTCCCCAGTCGTTTGAAGGAAAGAAAGCAGCGATTGCAATTGTGACGAGATCAACGACAAACGAATTTGTCTGTGGATCCTGCACAAGAGCATTTGTCGTGATGATGTAAAGAGCTCTCGACGATCTCTTCAGAAGCGGATCGATCTTATGCGCAAAATGAACAATGCACGCGCAGAAAAAATGGTTAGGTACTATAGTACGGTACGGTATGTACCGGTACGTACTTCGAAGTAAAATGCGGAGAATAACGCTCTGATACAACGCATGGCAGGGGTCATAACCCCTGACGCATGGTACGTACGATATCGTACTATCCCTGAGTGCTTTGATCAGGTAGATTTCAACAACCAGGTTCATCTCACATCTAACATTGCGATAGGAATCAAGAGATGTAAATCATTCTTATCTATCGCCTTGCGACGTACATCCTTTTGTAGTATTTGTATTGCCAACAGCGTTTTTGCTCTAAAGAAAAGGCGTGTCATTCATCACAGCGGTTTAAAAATGACGAATTCTCTCGCATCTGAGCTACGAATGTGGTTTTACTTGTTTGGGATTATGCTTTCGCTGTGTCCCTCGCAACCTGAAGTAGGCGGCAGTAGATTGGAGAATGTATGGGGCATGCAGGATCCTATAGGCAAGATGTGCCTCATGAGCACTGATCCCGAAGATGCTCTGTCGAATAGCTTTGGTACGAACAGAACTGCCTGTGAAGATTCATCGTCGGCGATACGAATGGAATACGAAATACACAAGAAGGTCAAGCACGCGAAGTATCAAATATTTCAAACGGACTGCAAAGATAGATTTGAAGACGGAAAATCACCAGTGCGAAGCTCCGTATCTCCGAACCAAGACAACACAATACCTTTGTCTCTGTCGTCTGAATCATCTGATACCGATAGTATTACGGCGTCGCTCGAGCTTATTCCGAATAAGGATTCTCTCTCGTCGTCCTGGTTTCAATCATTTTTTAACACCGAATTACAACAACGCACTATTGAATTCTGCGTCCGAACGAGTTTGTATACACCGCCTCAAGCAGGTGATATTGAAGTTAATTTTCGAGAAACAAATATTGTTGCTGTTTTCAACACAACAGAAGGCGATGGTGGCAACGGTGATGACTACGTCGTGGATAGCGTTGTTCTCAATCCCAAAGAACTCATCGGCATCAAAGTTGAATTGAATTCGAAAATGAATGGTGAAACCTCTGCCAGCACCAAGAAAAATGACGAGTTATAGGAAGAACAACTCAGCAGTTTTGAGCAGCGTATGGCTTCACATTATTTTCCATCAATTCTTGATACGCTTCCTTTCTTCAAATTGAAAGACTTGTTAATACAAGTTTCAGCGTCAATAATTTCAGATAATTGTTTCCAAGTGTGTACCTTCTGGGATGCCTCGACTCCTTCCAAAAGTGAGACTGCAAATGGACCAATTAACTTGATTAGCTATTGCTTGTCCTTCTATCAAAGTTAGCCTTCCTTGTTGCTGTTGCTTCCAAAGTGACTTCTGCAGATATTCAATGCGTCTTGTTAATCTTCCGACTTTGTACAATAGAAGGAAGATGAATATTTACTATCTGATCACAATAAGTCAAAGTGTTTCATCCTACTAGCAAAGGAAAATGAAAGTGGTGAAACAATGGAGCCGTTATGAAGACATGTATCAAGATTAGTCTAGCGGTGCTCGAGCTATGGAGCATTGGAATCAGATGTAAATTGTTCAGAAAGGGATACGAGAAATTGTTTTGCCGGTTTCAAGGTCATTGTTGTTAGAGCCCCGCTGAGGATTGCAATTCTGCTTGGTTTTGGAATCGAGAGAGCTGTCAGCTCCTGCATTGCAACAAGTTTCCACTTGCCATTCATTGAAAGTTACCCTTACTGTCTGTTTGACCTTGCGCTTGATATGAAATGTAGGTCCCAAAATCAAGATGACAAGTAGAGGAATCCATGGAAAAGGATAATGCAACATATTCAAATTTTGAAAATTTTGTTGTACGTCTACATAAAGAGTTTTTTTGGCTTTAAAGCACTCAATTGTAGACTCAGAAAAGTCATGTTCAATAAGAAACTTTTCTTTGTGGTCACATCTTCCATACTGCAAAACAAATTGTATTTCGTCCATCCCTATAGTATCACTTTGGAAGTGAATAGCTGACAATACCTTGTTTAGATTCTCAGGAGGTAAAATGATTCGAATGCTTGAGCGCATTACTGGTTGGTGAAAAATTGGACGGAGTTCTTGAAGATCATCTTCTTTTAAAGATAGAAACCCTCCTCGAGTTGTGATAGACATGTAGATTGGTTCTTGTAGAGGTTCAAGATTTTCTACGTGGAGACCAAACACCAGGGCGATGTTACGACATGATGACTTCGATTGTTCGTTGAAATCAAATTTATAACCACTGCAATGATCGTCCACCTGAGAACCAAATGCAGACACGCGTGCCCTTTCTTTCCAACCTATCGCGTCAATTGAGATTTGTTCCACTGGACATACAATACTGATATGTTCATCTTTTGTTGACGATGCGCTAATGACGTCCCCGTCCGTGCCGAGAGCCACCACTTGATATTCGAAAGTGTCATTCACCAATAGATCATTGCTTTTGTCACATACTGAAGGTACGCAATTATATGTGATGTTTATTATCTCTCCAATTTTTTCATTTCCGTCAAATAAATTCCTTGTCGGTTCTAATATTAGATTTTCAGTCAATTGAGCCCCTTCATGATCTAACAGAACTCCATTTGAAGGAAGTGATTTCAAGAAAAATCCAAGAGTTCTATTGATTCCTGATGAGTCTAACCCTTTCATCTGATAATTTACCCCTTCAACTTGCGTCGTCGATGTTATCGAGGGATCCGGGTCATTGGTTGACGAATAGGAAACACTGCTTAAAATTTGAACCTTTACTTCAGCTTCTTCTGACMAGCTCCCTGCTCTATCCTGTACACGGAATCGGAAGAAATCGACAGTCGACAAATCTTGAATCAAAACATCGTCGTACGTGATAAATCGATATTCTACGTATGCCTGTTTGCCAGATATCGTATTGTTGATATTGGATAGTAGCGTGCCATGAAGTAGATTATCTTCCCTTCGAAATGATGACACGCTCAAAAAGAGATCGCCCATTTTGGGAGGAGACGTTATCTGAATGGCTTGAATATAATCATTCTTGTCGACATCAAATCCGGTCAGTAACAATGCCTGAGCCTCCTCATTGACCCCCTCGTGTACAAAATACGTCGGAGGGAGAGTCGCCACTGGAGGATCGTTTATTGGGTCGACTATCACTGAAATTGTAGCTGAAACACATTGTGACGACGTGATAATTTTGTTTGTAGTAACGCAAAAGTCGAAAGACGAATAGGAATGTCCCGGAAATTCTGAGTGCTCGTCCTTTTTCGGCACATATACTATACGACCCATATCTCCGACAAGCACTGGGTGACTTCCGTTTGGCTCTATACTTTGACCGTTCCCTACATCGAAAATATTTCCTCTCGCTGGAAATCGCGTAATGTAGAGCCGAACGTATGCAGCTGGTTGGTGTGATAGGCTAAGGCGATTCAGGAGCTTATCAATTTCATCGTCTATAAAAGAATATGACATTTTAATCTCCTCAATGAGGGTATTTTCGTCTGCCGAATCTTCATAGATACGAGCTACCGAAGAATGGGCAACGGGTTGAGAAGGAGGTAACCCTTGGGAAATAATTGATCGCACTTGGTTTTTATTCAAAACACCGCTATATACCGAGAACTGAAATAGCTGACCATCCCAAGCACGTGACTGCCAACTATCGTGTTTTGGATAGTTGAAGAAGTGAAATAAACTAGTCGCATTCCAATGTTTTAGGTCATTATCAAATACCTCTCTTCTCCGCGCCATTGATTTTCCATTCACAAAAACTTGTTGGTGAAAATTTGCCAAGGAAATCGTGATGTGGGTTGGCGAGAAAATCCCATCGTTATTGTCCCGTAATGTAGATGTATTGAATTCAACTCGTTGGCAGGGTTCAAGCAAATGGTTGCTTGTTCGGTAAAGAACTTCCATCAAATCTGTGTCAATTATTGAGAGTTGTAAATCGATTTTAGAGTTTTCGCACAACGTCAACCCTGATCGTAATGCGTTTGTCTCGAACGAGTCCGACCCGATAGTAAATATAGTTCTGGGCGATACCAGGTCATATTGATCTTTGTATTGATCCATTTGCTCCCGATGAGGTCGAATCCACAACGATATAGTGAAACCAAATCTCTTGTCATTATGGAACGCATTCATTTTGTCGATAAATGAACCGATAGGTCTAGACGCGTACAGCGCTGTGGATGTCTCTGTCTTTTGATTGTTGTCAACGGCTGAATGAAAGTCGCTTTGGATTCCAGTGCCCGGCGCACATTGTGTAGTGTTCGAATTCCTTACCAATGCCAAAGATTCCTTTCCCAGGATTCCGCCGTTGAAAAAGGTTCCCCGAAAACAATCATTTTTGGTCATATCATATTGTAGCAAGGGAATCAGTTGCAAGGAATCTGACGTTTGTACAATGATTGAGAATAAAATTATCAGAATCCAAGTATAGAAGACAATTGTCACGTCTTGTTTCATTTTGCTCGTGGGTTTGTTGAAAGAAGTGACGGTGGTACACGTATTTGAAGTCCCTGTATAAAGAAAATAATTCCTGACGTTTGTTTTCTTTTCGTAACGAGTCTTCTTTTTCTAGAACAAAGATATCTATGTATCCATTCTTTATTTGCATCCTGACTGTTTTTGCGCAAAGTAGATAAGAGTTACAAGGTTTTGCTTCTCGACAACTGGTTTCAGACTGAGAGTTTAACAAAAGGTTTTAGGTTTTACTGTATGCCACGGGTTGCATGTTTTTAGACGACATAACGAGAGGTTTGATTGTTAATTCTCTCCTGATCCACGAGTATTAGTGCTCCTAATGGTTCATTCCCGAAAACATATTCTGTGATATGTTTTCGGGAATCACTTTCAGTGGTACAGATGGCAC